CCCGCTCCCGGCTTCCACAAACCAGGCCCCTTCCCCACGCGGCCCGCTCACCGCTGTCCACGCGGAAGCGCTCGTGGCTGGCCCGCAGCCCGTCGATCTCGCTCTGCTGGTCGGCCAGGAAGCGCTCCAGCTTCCCCTGCACCAGCTTGGGGAGCTTGGCCAGCTCGGCCCGCTCCAAGACCTGCTGCAGCACCGCCGCCATCTTGGCTGAGAGCCGCCGTCGCCGTCGCTGGCGTTGCCGCCGCCGTCGCTTCCCACCCGCTTCCGGCCTGGCAGAGACAGAAACAGCGCACGAAGCATGCGCGAACACCGCCCCTCCTCCTCCAGCATCGTGCGACATGCCGGGCGCTAGCCCCACCGGAAGTGGGGGAGAGGAACTTCCGCCTCTGATGGTGGCGCTCTCCCCGCCATTTTGAGTGAGGGCCGCAATGCCGGCTAGTGGGTTTAAAGCGCCTGAGCTGAAGCACTAGGGTGTTGCTCGCTTGAAACAAGCAGACAAATAAAAAAAGGACATGTGTGAGGTGTGGGCTATGGGGAAGTGCTGTGGCTTACTCCTGTCCCACCAAAAATGGCGGAGTTGGGGCGGGGAGTAACGTCTTTCTCCCGCGCTTAGCTGGTATCCGGGCCGATTGGTTGACGTCATTGGTAGGCGCTGGGGGAGGACGGCGCATGGTGGTGATGTGACGCTGGGACACATCACAGTGTGTGGCTGAGCTCGGAGAGCGGTCTCCGGGGCTGAGGTCGAAGCTGGTGAGCGCGGCCGGGGAGGGTAGGCCGGGCCGGGGTGGCTGGAAGTGTCCCCTCCTTGCTCCTGCAGCGGGAATGGCTCGCGGCCCAGATCCTTCGTTATTGGGGGCAAAAGCGACGGTACAGTTGTCGTATTCAAAATAATTCTCTGCTGAAACGAGCCTATTAAGATTATCCCCACCCCCCGGGCTCATTTCAGACCTTTAAATCTTTTAGTGCAACGTCCAAACTTCCTGCTTAGTCACAAGTAGGCTTCAACTCCTTCAGGGGGGCTTTCGGAGACGTGTAGTTTGTAGCTGTGTTAGTCTAGAGGCAAAGGCATCCAAAACTCTTGAGGAAGAGGCAATATCTTTTATTGGACCAACTAGATAGTTGCAACTTTCTTTTGTATTTATTTGCAAGCCCAAAAGCTTGCTAATAGTTGCAAAAAATATTTTTTTATTGACTTGCAAGCCTGAAAGCTTGCAAATATTATTATTATTATTATTATTATTATTAAATTGCAGCTACCCACTATCCAGCTGGTCTAATAAAAGATATCACCTCTTTCAGAGACCGCATTTCTGTACAGCTGTGCAGGTATGCAAAGGTCAGCTCAGCGACTCTGAATGTGGGTGCCACAAAGCACAAGGAGATGAGCAGGGGAGCGCAGGCTCAGGCTCTCTGTACACATTCATTTAATGGTGCAATGGGCTCTGATTTCCAGTTGCAACAATTGCGCCTCCTGCCTTGCTACGTGTGTATAACAGGATGTGTGATTTAGGGATCAGGGATCAGATCCCGATTGGGCTATTTCACCAGGGCAGGGCTGGGTTCATGATTCTAGTCTCCCCCTGCAACAAGATGACTGTTCTCTAATGGCACCCTCCTGCTATAAAAAATGAGTGCTGGAAGGGACCTCAGGAGGTCATCTAGTCCAAGCACCTGCACAAAGCAGGACCAGCCCCAATTCGGTCATCTCAGCGAAGGCTTTGTCTAGCCAGGTCTTAAAAACCTCCAAGAATGGAGAGTCCACATTAGTAGTGAGGGGCCCGCTGCACACACTACTCCAGATGTGACCTCACCAGTGTTGAATATAGGGGAAGAATCACTTCCCTTAATCTGCTGGCAACACTCCTACCAATGCAGCCCAGTATGCCGATAGCTTTCTCCGCGCCAAGGGCACACTGTTGGCTCGTATTCAGCTCATTGTCCATTATAACCCTCAGGTCCTTTTTTGTAGGGCTGCAGCCTAGCCAGTCAGTCCCCAGCCTGTACCGGTGCATGGGATTGTTCTGCCCAAAGTGCAGAACTTTGCATTTGTCCCTGTCCTTGACCTTGCCCTTGGTGAATCCATCCTGACTGTTTCTAATCACCTTCTTGTCCTCCAAGTGCTTAGAATTGAATTCCTTAAGGATCTGCTCCATGATTTTTCCAGAGAGTGAGGTAAAGCTGCCTGGTTTGTAGTTCCCTGGATCCTCCTTTTTTCCTTTCTTAAGTGTGGGCACTATATTTGCCCTTTTCCAATGATCTGGGACCTTTCCAAGTCACCATGAGTTTTCAAAGATGATGGCCAGTGGCTCTATAGTTACATCAGCCAACTCCCTCAGCACCCTTGGGTGTCCCTAACCTGTTCTTTTGCCACAGTTGGCTGCTCACCTCTTCCCAAAACTGTGTTTCCAAGTGCAGTAGTAAGTCTGGGAGCTGACCTTGCCTGTGAAGATTGAGGTGAAAAGGCGTTTAGTATTTCAGTCTTTTCTGCATCCTCTGTCACAAGGTTGTCTCCCTCATTCAGTAAGGGGGTCAGACTTTCCCTGATCCTCCTCTTGTTACTGACATACTTGTAGAAACCCTTCTTGTGTACCCTTCACGTCCCTTGGAGCTGCAACTCCAATTGTGCTTTGGGATTCCTGACTTCATCCCTGAATGCCCAAGCAACTCTTATACATATGCATACATAGGCTGTACACATGGTTTTTAGAAGTTTCAGTGCATGGGAACATGTGATTTGATTCCTTGATCCCAGGGTCCTGTTATCTAGGATTTGTCAGATGCCTGGCTACTCAGCTGCCACTAGAGTTGCAGGCCAATGCAGTCAACCTATTGGGTTGCAGGGTTCACTATTTGATAAGCTCCCTTGAACTCAGCACCCTGATCACAGTGGGATGCAGCCCAATGCAGGGCTGGACCACACAGCTGTCATCCTGCCAATTGTGGTGGAGGGGTGGAATCCGTCAACCAAGCCCCACCATGCAGCTGGCATCAGGCTGTATAGTAAGATTACTATGATACATGTTTAATTTAAGGTCCTATAGAAACCAGCCATAAAAGTAATACAAGTTTTGTGGCATTTTTTTTGTGGTGACTGTCTTGTTTTGTTGCACGATTGATTGCTGGAACATGTGGCTGAGGTACTATTCATGGCATGATGAATGGGGTAATTGCATTTTAAGTGTAATATGTGACATGGACCTCAGTTCCTTCCTGGCTGATCTCCCATCGTCAGCAGTGGAAGGAGGGGGTGCTAATGGGGCTTAGTCCCCCCAAACAAGGGGCAGTGGTAGGGCTACAAGAGAGCCCATCTGTGGGCTTGTGGCGGTTGCAGGTGGGGTGGGGAGGGGCACTAAACAGTGAGCAAGAGAGTGGGGCTGGGGCTGGCCCTGTGCAGCTGGGGCGGGTTGTGGGACCGAGTTGCGAGTGGCTTGTCTGGGAAGCTCAGCTCCTGCTGCTGCACGCACTTTGGAAGGCATGGGGGACATGTGCATTGTACTTGGCAGCAGTGGTGGCAGTAAGTTGTGCCTCCTGCTTCTGGCCAGGCAGGGGGTGCGCAGTCAGTGCATGGCTCCTGGGGGAAAGGCAGCAGGGGGGAGAGCCCTGAGCCAACAGTGGGCAGCCTGCCTCTGCCCTTGCCCTGCTTGGCTGTGTTCCTAAAAGTGTCCCTGTGATTAAAAATGGTGGTGCCGGAACTTGAACTAAAGCTCATTCTAGCCCCAGCCTCTGCCCCATTCCCTTCCTCACTGTGGGGGCCTCGATCTGTCCCCTCCCATGCCTCTTCGCTCCCTCACGTCCCTTCCCCTCCACAGATTTACCCTCAGGGTGCTGCTCTCCATGCTGCCTGGTTGCATTTCCGTAAACTGGTTATCGGTTCGGTATCAGCCAACATGGCTGGTTAATAATTGGCTTTTGGTATTGGCCAAGAAAATCTTTATTGATGCACCCCTATAAAAATATAGAGGGGTGCTTTGAGTTTAAAAAGATTTAACTGCTGCTGGAGTTAATATAATATATTTTTGTTTCATAGACTGAAGCAAGACAATTGAGTTGCAAAGTTGTAGTAATGGGAAGAAGCTACTTTGTGGAAGAAACTGTTGGACAGTATCTTTCAGACCTCAGCACCAAGCCAAAGGTTTATGCCACTGGCCTGCTGATAGGACAGGTAAGTGTGTTAAATTGATGTAAGCACGTGTTGGCCTCTTTAGTGGATATGTGTAACTGCAATTAATAATATGTTCGTATAGGGGTTTGCTCTGCTTCTGTTCAAGGAAATGAAAGCATTTTAGTTGATTTTCATAGTGTAGGATTAAGCCCATAAATATAATATTGAACACTTATCAGGCAGTGAGTTTATACAGAAACTTACAAGTACCCTTGGGGAATGCAGTTTATTCACCTCCAAACAAGTTGGATTTCCAACTTGTTTTTCCAAGTGGTTTGGTACATGTGACTATGAAGATATAACACCAGCACTTTTATATTTCACTTCTTTATTTTCATTCATGTGTTATAGCAAGGGTAGGCAATTATTTTGGCTGGAAGGCCGCTTAATGAGTTTTGGTGAACTGTTGAGAGCTGCAAGCGTAGCCCTACCCCTTGACGGGTGCCCCGCCCCCTGGGTACCATCTTGGGTCTGGAAGTCCCACCTCTAACTCCTGACCTTGCCACTGGATGTCTCTCCCCTTGCCCTGGAAGTACTCCTCTTGGGAGGGAGGGTGCTGCCTTCTTGAAACCAGGAAAAAAACCAACTAATCGTGCACTGAAAAATAAAAAATTACTATAACATATTTTAATTTTATTTAAATATATTTTTGTTCGGCTTTATGCATGTTTGCATAGTGTATCTAGAGGCAGTTGCATAATAGCTCAAAGTACAGTCTTACTCTTGTATATTGTGGTGGGGGTTAGGTGGGTGTCTGGGGGATGGGTGTGGCTGTGGGGTATGTGGTTAGGGTGGAGGTTGTGGGAGGGTGTGGGGTTATGGTGGGTGGGGTGAGAGTGTGTGTAGGATGGGTGTGTTTGGGGGACTGGTGGGGTATGTGGGAGGGTATGGGTGCAAGTGTGTGGGGGGAGTGGGTCCTTGGAGTCCCTGGAGTGTTGCAGTCCCTGGAGCTGCATGTGGTGGCAGTGAGCAGGGCCAGCCCCACCTGGTCCTTTACTATGCAGCTCTCCACACTCCCACCCTATTCTCCAACTGCAGGTGGTGGCAGTGTGCAGGGCCAGCCCCACCAAACCCTGCACGATGAAGCCGGCAGCACAGGTCATGGGGCTCAGCCAGGGCAACAGAAAGAGGGGAGGAGGCGGCCCAGCTTCATAGTTTCATAGTAGCTAGGGTTAGGAGGGACCTGAACAGATCATCTAGCCTGACCCCCTC